GCTGGGAAAGGTGTGGGAAAGAGAGAGAGCAGGGAAAATGAGCTCAGAGAGCTGAGAAAGGGCTGAGAAGGAAAACATATATACATTTTAAAATATCTTTATTTCTTCTTTTGTTTTTTCTTATTGGTTTTCTTTCTCTGAATTTAGGTCTTAGCTTTCTTCTGTCTGTTCCTTTCTTTCACTACATCCCTCTACTCTCATTTCCTCTTCCCCCATTTTTCATTATATCTCTCAATCTTCTAATTCACCTCAACACATTTTCCTTTATTTCTGGTCCTTCACTACTTATTCCTTTGCTTTAGTCCACTGACCCGTATTTGATTGTTGTTGATCTAGACTCTAATTGTATCCATTTTGACAGTGTCAAAGTAGATTATTGTGTCATCCTTTTGGTTCAGACTGCTTTAAAGCTCATGACAGATTTGTTCACTGATTTCAACTATATATATATATATATATATATATATATATATGTATATATATATATATGTATGTATGTATGTATGTATATTCCCCACTCTGGAAGAACAATACCCCTCCCATAACAAAGAAAAGGATAGATAAATAGGAGAATACGTATGTCCTATTTCAAAGCTCTAAAATCTGTGCAAATACAGGGATTGTGGTTGTTTTTTGTCTTAAAAATGTGTTCTGTGGGGGTACTGGAATTTTTTTCATATCCTAGAAGGAAAGAGTTAAAATAACTGCCTATGATTGTTAACCCTTAAAGTCTGTGCAGCTCTAGGTTCTGGGTTGGTTGTTGTCTTCAAAATGTTTCCTGGTATGAGTGAGAAAAGTGTGGCTGAAATTAGGAAAGCAACTCCATTTCTAATACCCCACAAAAAATAAAATACCTAGGATTTAACTTAACCAAGGAAGTGAAGGACCTCTATCATGAAAACTTTAAAATCTTGAAAAAGGAAGTTAAAACAGAACTTAGAAAATGGCAAAACCTTCCATGCTCCTGGATTGGAAAGATTAATGTCGTGAAAATGGCAATACTTCCCAAGGCTATCTACAAATTCAACGCGATACCTACCAAAATTCCAACCTCATTCTTCAAGGAAATAGAAGAGGCAATCCAAAAATTCATATGGAACAATAAAAGACCACGAATAGCAAAAACGCTCCTCAATGGAAAGAACACTGATGGAGGAATATCAATACCAAATTTCAAACTCTACTATAAAGCCATAGTAATGAAAACAGCTTGGTATTGGCATAAGAACAGACCTCAGGACCAATGGAAAAGAATTGAAAACCCAGAAATGAACCTACAGACCTATAGCCATCTAATCTTCGATAAGGGAGCTAAAACAATAGAATGGAAGACAGACAGCCTCTTCAGTAAATGGTGCTGGCAAAATTGGTTAACTACTTGTAAAAAACTGAAGCGAGATCCTTATATATCACTCTGCACCAGAATCAACTCCAAATGGATCAAAGACCTTGAACTCAAAGCAGACACTCTGAAAACATTACAGGATGGAATAGGAGAAACCCTAGGTCTCCTTGGCTCAGGCCGAAATTTTCTGAATAGAGACTGCGAAACACAACAAATCAAAGAGAGGTTGGACAAATGGGATTGCATGAAGTTGCAGAGCTTCTGCATGGCAAAGGACATAGCTAGCAAGATCAATAGAAAGCCCACGGACTGGGAGAACATCTTCACTAGCCATACAACAGACAAGGGTCTCATATCTAAAATATACTTGGAACTCAAAAAATTAAATCCCCCAACAACAAATCCTCAAAGAAACAACTGCCCAATAAATAAGTGGGCTAATGACTTAAAGAGAAACTTCTCTGAAGAAGAAAGAAGGATGGCCAATAGACACATGAAGAAATGCTCAACATCCCTAGCCATAAAAGAAATGCAAATCAAAGCAACATTGAGATACCACCTCACTCCAGTTAGAATGGCAAAAATCAAGAACTCTAACAACAACAGATGCTGGAGGGGATGTGGACAGAAGGGAAGCTTACTTCATTGTTGGTGGGAATGTAAACTTGTTCAACCACTTTGGAAAGCAGTATGGAGGTTCCTCAAAAGACTTCACATAGAGCTCCCCTATGACCCAGCAATCCCACTTTTGGGCATTTACCCAAATGTTCACAAACAAGACCACACTAAAGCTACCAGCACAACTATGTTTATTGCAGCATTGTTTACCATAGCTAAGATCTGGAACCAACCCAGATGCCCCTCAGTAGATGAATGGATCAAGAAAATGTGGTGTATATTCACAATGGAATTCTATGCCTCCATCAGAAAGAATGACATTGCCCCATTTGTTAGGAAATGGAAAAACTTATATTAAGTGAAGTAAACCAGCCCCAAAGAAACATAGGCCCCATGGTTTCCCTTATTTGCAATATCTAGTATATATATGAGTCAAGCCGAAAAGGTCAGATAATGTGATGTTAGGAAAATAAACCCTTAGATATGTATTTAAATGTTTTTTTCATTCATACATTTTTTCTAACGCATTTATAAGATTATCTCTTTGTAGCTTTGTATGTCCCTCCCCCACAGTATAACCCCTGCTTTCACTATATTTGATATCAGTATAACTTGTAGAGGAGATGGGGAAAAACAAGTCATTTAAGGATACAGGTGGACCTGTTGCAACAATGAGAAGTACAAGTTGTCATGTCGAAAACGAGCTTTACAACTGTGGTGGTGGGGGGGGAAGGCTGGGAAGGGATGTCAAGGGTAAACAAAGGTGGAGGCTGCAATGCTTGATAAGAAATGTACACATTATCCTGCTCATGTAATTGTAACCCCTCTGTACAGTGTGTTCACAAAAAAAAAATTAAATTAAAAAAAAATGTTTCTTGGTATGGTACTGGATTTGGTCCCATTTCTAAATGGGCAGAACTAGCCATAGAAACACAAGAAAAATGGCAATTCAAGGAACCTGAACTCCTACTCAAAATAAATTGGCAACAGAGCAATCAGTGAAAAACCTAGAGGACAGTTCTCAAGCTCTAGAATCACTACTTGTAAACATGCTGAATGAAAGACTGAAAGCCTGCGTGAGGCTATATTTGAGCATGATGAGGCTAACCAAAGATTAATAGAGGAATTCATGGAATCCACAAACAAAAAGCTGTATTAATTCCAACCAAAGGGCCTGGGAAGGTGACTCAGTGGTAGGGTACTTGCATAGCATGCATGAGGCTCTCAGTTCGATTCCTCAGCACCACATAAGCAAAAAGAAAAAAGCCATAAGTGGTGCTGTGGCTCAAGTGGTAGAGTGCTAACCTTGAGCTGAAGAGATGAGGGACAGTTTCCAGCTCAGAGTTCAGGCCCCATGACCATAATAAACAAACAAACAAAAAAAAAACAAAAAAACTAAAGGAAATCCAATGAAAGTATAGCCACTTAGCTGAACAATTTGAGGAGAACACTGAAAATAATACCAAGGAGGTAACTAAGTCTGTAGAAGATCTAAAATAAAGCTTCATCAGCAGAGGCCAAGCAGGCACCATCACTGGATCAGATGTGAGAGGAGGCCTGGCCTCTGGCAAAGGCCAGTCCTCCAGCATCCCGCCCAGCTCCACCACCAGCAAAGGCTCACGGGAGAATGAGTAGGGAGCCTGGATCTTTGAGGCCATCTCTGAGTCTTCTCTGAGCCTGTGCCCTGGGACCAGCACCACCCCCACCTCCCACGCTCTCCCAGCCCCAGCCTCCGTGGCTCCGCTCCTTTGTCATCCTGTCTCGGTGTCTCCAGCCCTAAGCCCATGTCCCACCACTGGTTCTACCTCCCAGTTGCCAGGTCCCCCTCCAAGCCTTCTCCCTAGGCCTGTGTCTTGTGTATTCGCCTCCTCATTCCTCAATGCAACCCTAAGATCCCCAGCACTGAGCAGATGAGCTGTGATTGTGAGAAATAAAGGTCAGAGCTTGACATCACCCCAGCCTGGTTATGGTGTGAGAGTGAGCTTGACACAGAGACACGCCTTTTATGTCCAGCTGAAGAAACAATTGTGACCCTTCTGTTTCCATCCATCCACCCTTCCATCCATCCCTCATCTATCTACTCATCCATCCTTCCATACAACCATCTATCCATCCACTCATCTATCTACCCTTCCATCCATTCATTCACTTATCTATTCACCTATCCATCCATCCATTCTTCTTCCATCCATCTATACACCCATCCATCCGTCTATCCATCCACTCATCCATCCATCCTTCTTTCCATTCATCCATCCATCCTTACTCATTCCATCCATCCATCCATCCACCCACCCATCCTTATATCTATACATCCTAGCCACCTTACCAGCCTCTTGTATATCATTTTACAATAATTTTAAAAATCTTGCCTTCTAGTGAGTTCTAAGTTGGCTCAGTGGTAGAGTGCTTGCCTAGCATGCATGAAGCCTTGGGTTCCATTCCTCAATACCACATACACAGAAAAACCTGGATGTGGTGCTGTGGCTCAAGTGGTAGAGCTCTAGCCTTGAATACAGAGAGGCCTAGGAACAGTACTCAGGCCCAGAGTTCAAGCCCCAGGACTGGAAAAAAAAATTGACAGGTGTCAATGAAGATCAAAACTTGTTTGAATAGCCGGGTGCTGGTGGCTCACGCCTGTAATCCTAGCTACTCAGGAGGCTGAGATCTGAGGATCACAGTTCAAAGCCAGCGCAGGCAGGAAAGACTGTGTGACTCCTATGTCCAATAAACCACCAGAAAACCGAAGTGGTGCTGTAGCTCAAGTGTTAGAGCACTCGCCTTCAGCTGAAAACAAAACAAAACAATACAAAACAAAAACTTGTTTGAAGCTGTGTGCAGTGTCTGATGCTTGTAATCCTAGCTATTAAGGAGGCTTAAATCTGAGGACCACAGTTCGGGGCCAGCCTGTGCAGGGAATTCCCTGAGCCTTTTATCACCAGTGAACCACCAAAAAGCCAGAAGTTGAGCTGTTGCTCAGGTGGTAGAGTGCTAGCCTTGGGAGGGGGGTGTGGAAAAGCTAAGGGATAGTGCTCAGGTCTTGAGGTCAATGCCTAGGACTAGCAAAAAACAAAACAACCCCCCCCAAAACCCAACTTGTTTGAATTTCAATAAAAATAGATAGTAGACGTACGGATTTTTTTTTTACCAGTCCTGGAGCTTGAACTCAAGGCCTGAGCACCTCTTTGTGCCTCTCTCTGCTCAAGGCTAGCTCTGCCAGCGCTCTACCACTTGAGCCACAGCACCACTTCTGGCTTTTTCTGTTTATGTGGTGCTGAGGAATCAAAGCCAAGGCCTCATGCATGCAAGGCAAGCACTCTACCACTGAGCCACTTTCCCAGCCCCTGTACTGACTATTTTGCATGTGAACACCCCAGGCCCTCAGAACAGAGAGAAATAAAGTCTATCTCAACCATTCCACCTATTTTTTTCTTTTCTGTTACAACAGCCAGACTATAAGAGGCAGTGTCCCAGATGCCAGCAAAGGTTTCACATTGGGTAACTGATTAGGCAGATGATTTCATTTCACATTTGCCTCAACTGTCCAGGTGTTTCTCCATAGGGTATGGGGCCAAACGTTCTCATTTTTGTCTGGGGGAGAAAGTGAACATTTTGTTTGTTTTGTTGGTCGTGGGGACTGAACTCTGGGCCTGGGTGCTGTCCCTCAGCTCTTCAGCTCAAGGCTAGCACTCTACCACTTGAGCCACAGCACCATGTCTGGCTTTTTCTGCTTACGTGGTGCTGAGGAATCAAACTCAGGGCCTCGTGCGTGCAAGGCAAGCACTCTACCACTGAGCCAGCTTCCCAGCCTGAAAGTGAACTTTTAATGACTTTGCAGATGCTGAAGATTACTTTCTGAAGCAGGTCCCTCAGGACAACGCTGGCCCTCTGAGAGCCCACTTAGTTATGTTAATGTGTTGATGAGCAGATTCAGGTCTGAGAGGGTTGCACTGATGCTTTGGGCTCGTGGAAATGACATCCCATAAGGCTTGAGGTGTCCCGGGGCAATGTGATGGGTGAGCCTCCATGGGGAGGCCAATTCAAGCTACTCACAGTCCCCATATACAGTGGGGGCTGGTCCAATCAGCCCTTTCGAGGAGGCTGACTTCCTGGAGGAAGAACTCTGTGTCCTCCAACCCCCAGCGTTTATGTGAGGTAGGAAGGCCCACCTGTGATCCCCCTGCTATCAGCCTGTGCTTCTGAAAATTTGTTTCTCAGTTTAACTTCCATCATATATTTATATTTAAACAAGTTTATATTTACATATATTTACATACATTATACATTTATATTTACATAATCATGCTTCCCTTCCCTCCTCCTCCCCCTTTTTTTTACTCTTTGATACAGTAGTTTGCCTCACAGCCTGTGCTGGCCTCCAGATTCCTGATCTTCTCACCTCAGCCTCCAGTTGCTGGGATTACAGGTGAGTCTGGGATTACAGGTGAGTGCTACCACACTCAGTTTCTTTGATGTTTGTCAGTATTGGTTTTTCCTTCTGCACCTGTATGCAGTTTGAGTGTTTTTCCATCTCTTTTTTGCAACACTGTATCTCTCTCAGCCTCAGGTATTGCTCTCATCCTGCAGCCATCTTCATTTTATTTGTGAAAAGTCATCATTTTGATACTTCTTTGGCTTTGTTATTAGTAACAAATGTAATGATAACCCATGGGAACCCAATATCTTTTTTAATCTCCAGTGTCATTCTAGTAATCTCCCCCATTTATTCTCAGTCCAGTAATTACTGCTTATTTGCATTTGGTAGAATTTAATGGTGTTTAATTTTTTTTATCACTTCCAGTTTCTGTGTTTGTTATATCCTTCTCATTTTTTTCCCTAGTCCTGGAGCTTGAATTCAGTGCCTGAGTACAGTGTCCCTCAGCTTTCTTTTTTTTCTTTTCTTTCTTTCTTTTTTCTTCTTTTTTCAAATTCAAGACTGAGAACTCTATCACTTGAGCCACAGCACCACATCCAGCTTTTTGTTAGTTAATAGGAGAGAAGAGTCTCACAGTCTTTCCTGCCCTAGCAGGCTTGGAATCCTTTGATCTTAGAGCCTCAGATGATGATGATGATGATGATGATGATGATGATGATTTTTGCCAATCCTGTGGACTGAACTCAGGGCCTGGGCACTGCCCCTGAGCTTCTTTCTTTCTTTCTTTCTTTCTTTCTTTCTTTCTTTCTTTCTTTTTTCTCAAAGGTGGCACTGTACCACTTGAGCCACAGCACCACTTCCAGACTTTTCTGTGTATGTGGTACTGAGGAATCGAACCAGGACATCATGCATGTTAGGCAAGCACTCTACCACTGAGCCACCTTGCCAGCCCCAATCAGAAGCTCAGATTTTTGACTGGCTGAGATTACAGGCATGAGCCACTGGCACCTGACTGCATGGTGGGATATTTAGGAGTGATTTTTACTTCTCTCTTCTGCCTGTCTGTAGCTCCACACCACATTGTGAGAACTATGTTTGTTTCCCTTCAATGCACAGCCGGGTTGGGAAAGGCAAAAAGTGGCTCAAGCCACATCTTTGTATGACAGGAGACTTTTTCCTCTCTCTCTCTCTCTCTCTCTCTCTCTCTCTCTTTGGGTCCAGTCGTGGGGCCTGAACTCTCAGCCTGGGCACTGTTTGTTCCTCAGCTCTTCAGCTCAAGGCTAGTGCTCCACCACTTGAACCACAGCACGACTTCTGGCTTTTTTCTTTTTGCTTATGTGGTACTGAGGAATCGAACCCAGGGCTTCAGGCATGCAAGGCAAGTGCTCTACCACTGAGCCACCTTCCCAGCCCCCCCTCTCTCTTTTAAAGATCTCTGTCTTAGAAGAATTGTGACCTGTTGTCAAAAGTAAGAAGTAAAAGTCTGCTCACTACATGTCTGTGCATTTTCACACCCTGTAGAAAAGGCAAGCAGTAGGAAGACATTGGCTTAGAAAGAAAATGTGACTGAACCCTCCACCAAGAAATGCAAATCAAAGAGAGTGCACAAAGGCACAATGCCTGTGGGCCTCTGATCATGAAAAAAAAAAACAAAAAACCTTATTGAAATGAACTCCAGGAGATGGAAACAAGAGGTCTCTCCTTCTTTGTTGGTTTCGTTTTCTTTTTTTCTTTTTTTGAGGGTGGGGATGGGGGTCTGGTTGTGGGGCCTGAATGCTGGGCCTGGGCGCTGTCCCTCAGCTCTTCAGCTCAAGGCTAGTGCTCTACCACTTGAGCCACAGCGCCACTTCCAGCTTTTTTCTTTTTTCTTATGTGGTGCTGAGGAATCGAACCCAGACCTTCATGCATACAAGGCAAGCGCTCTACCACTGAGCTACCTTCCCAGCCCCTGGTTTTGTTTTCTTTGCTCTTTGTCTTGTTTGTTTTTATCTGTCTTTGGGAGGGCATCAAAGGGCATGGAAGGGGCAGGAATGGTACTCACTAGACACTATGTGGAAAATGAATGCTACAACCTGTTGGTTTGGGACTGGAGGGAAAAACTGGGAGAGAGTGAGGGAAAGGGTGGCCTTGTCCAAGAAGAAACATATTCTTTACCTAACATATATCTAGAAACCCCACTGCATAACACCTTTATAATAACAGTATATTTTATTTATTTTTATCATTTATTTACTCATTTATTTATGCTGTCAGTATAGGGCTTGAACTCAGGGCCTGGTCACTGTCCCCAAACTCTGTCACTCAAGGCTAGCACTCTACCACTTTGCGCCACAGCGCCACTTCTGGTTTTCTGGGGGTTAAGTGGAGATAAGAGTCTCACAGACTTTCCTGCCCAGTGTAGCTTTGAACTGTGGTCCTCAGATCTCAGGCTCTTCAATAGGTAGGATTACAGGCATGAGCCACATATGCCTGAATTTTTTAAAAAAAAGAAAACACATAGATCTCTCTCATCTGGGCCAAATACGTTCTGGATAATATATTCTCTCTCTCTTTTTTTTTTTGTCTGTTGTAGGGACTGAAATCTGGGCCTAGGCGCTGTCCCTCAGCTCTTCAGCTGTGGACCAGTGCTCTACCACTTGAGCATCAGCCCCACTTCTGGTTTTGTCTGCTTATGTGATGCTTAGGAATTGAACCTAGAGCCTCATGCATGAAAGGTAAGTGCTCTACCACTGAGCCACCTTCCCAGCGCCATAGATAATATATTCTCTTGTAGGGTATTTACCCTCCTGTCATCTCTATGCCCACACTTGAGGTTTCTGTGGCATCCTAGCATGACTCAGTGAAACACAGTGGAACCCTGGAGGTCTTCCCCCTCCCTCCATTGCCAATCATCGTATGGACTCGAATATGAGAATTTCACAGTATCTGGCAGGTGCCAGTGACTCACACCTGTCATCCCAACTACTCAGGAAGCTGAGGTGTGAGGATCGTGGTTCAAAGTCATCTCTGGGCAGGAACATCCCTGAGACTCTTATTTCCAATAAAGCACCAGAAAGGTGGAAGTGGCGCTGTGGCTCAGAGTAGTAGAGTGCTATCCCTGAGCAATAGAGCTCAGGGGTAGCACCCAGGCCCTGAGTTCAAGCCCCGCCACTGACAAAATAGCTGAAAATGGAGCCTTGGCTCATATGGTAGAGTTCTGGGCTTGTGCAAAAAAGTCCAGGAACAGCCCCCTATGCCCTGACTTCAAGCCCTAATAAGGGCACCCTCCAAAAAAGACTATATATATACATATATATGATCCTTCATAAGGCTTGAACTCTAGGCCTAAGCACTGTCCCTGGGCTCTTCAGAACTCTAGCACTTGAGCCACAGCGCCATTTCTGGCCTTTTCTGCGTATGTGGTACTGAGGAATCGAACCTGGGGCTTCATGCATGCTAGGAGGGCACTCTACCACTAAGCCACCTTCCCAGTCTTTAATGTTTTTTTCCCCCCTGTTTTATCAGCAGCAGGAGGGGGGAGGCCATCCAATGAACACATCTGAACCTCATCACGATCATGTTTCCATCTTGGTGCTCTTCCTCCCCTTGGAGCTTTTCCTTGGCTTCCTGGGGAACTTGTTGCTCTTCTCATTGTTGGTGCACAGCTGGCTGTGCTGGCGGGCCCTGAGGAAACCTCTGTATCTCATCTTGGCACATTTGACACTGGACAATTCCTTGAGAATCGTGTTCAGGCTGACCCCGGACCACTTGACCATCTTGGATGTGGGGGAGACCTGGCCCTTTTTTTTTTCTGTCTGACCTGGGCTGCAGGGCACTGCTCTATGCCTACAGTGTCACCCACTTCCTGAACATCTGTACACTATCGCTTCTCATGGCCTTCCAGGCGGCCACCCTCCATCCCCGCCACCTCATGTGGGTCTTGCTGCAATGCAAGGCTCCCTCCTTCATCTTGCCACTTGCCTCTCCTTCTGGATCTTCAACTTGCTCCTCTACCTCCCTGTCCTGAACCGTGGCCCCGGGCCAGGCAATTATTCAGGCCCTGCAGCTTCTTTCCCCTGGGCGCCATGTGAAAGTGTCCAGCTGCGTTACCACACCTCCACGACGCTCTAGTGTGTCTGATCCTGCGAGATGCCCTCTGTGTGGGCCTCACAGTGGCCGCCAGCCTCTACAGGGTGAAATTCCTCTACGCACATCGCCACACAGACCTGCACCTGCACAGCCCCGCCCAGGTCTCCCCGTTGCAACAAGAGATCAAAGCCACCCACAGCGTCCTCACACTGGTAGCTTTCTTTGGAGGCGCATTTGGCTTGAACAGCTTTGTCACATTTTACTCATTTTATAGACCGAAGGAAAACCCGGCCTTGGAGAAGATGAGCAGGATCCTGTCATTCTGTTATCCGGCCATCTGTCCTTTTGTCCTGATGAGGCACAGGAGAGTGATTTCCAAATTCATCGCTTCATTTTCAAAGATGCAAATTTCCTTGACCCAGAGTAGATGCCGCTGCTGATGAGTCACCCCTGAGAACTGCTGTTGGCCACATTAAAGGGGTGTATGTGAGCTTTTGGGTTTTTCACTAGGGATGAAGTGATTCATGCTGTTGTTGTTGAAGTATGTGTGTGTGTGTGTGTGTGTGTGTGTGTACAAGTGCTCATGTGCGTGTATCCTAGGACTTGAACTAAGGGCCTGAGTGCTGTCCCTGAGCTTTTGTGCTCCAGGCTGGTGGTGCTCTACCACTTGAGCCACAGCTCCACTTCCAGCTTTTTTAGTAGTTTATTGGGGATGAGGGTCTCACAGACTTTTCTGCCCAGGCTGGCTTTGGATGGTGATCCTCACATCTCAGCCTCTGGTGCAGCTAGGATTACAGGCATGAGTCACAGGAGCCTGGCTGTTTGTACAACTTTTATTCGTTGCCTTTGACAAATTGCTCAAATTTCTAATATTATATGGAAGAAGTGAGTGGAAAAGGGATAGTATTTCATGCTCTTAATCGGGGGAAAACCTTTCAGTTGCAGCCTCCATAGTGATGGTCATAAATAGCATTTATGTGGATGTGTTCTCATTATATGAATAATATATAAATATATATAATATTTGGTTTTTCTTTTTTTTTCTCAAGAAAAAAGTTGCCAGGTGAATCCAGTCACTTATGTGTGTGATTTTATTTCCGGCTATGTGATCTTTTTTTCTGTTTGTGAAATAGCACTTTAACTCCCTGGAATGGAATCAGCTTGGTGACTGATGTTAGGGAGTAAACTGAGTCAGGAAGCTGAATGGAAAGAGAAATCTCAATTTGTATTCATCAAGGAGTGTTGCTAATCACAACCTAAGGCAGTGCGACAGGATACCAGAAAGTACTGGGACAGGTGTAGAGAAAAAGAAGAATTTCAGAGGGGACCAGGGGTCCCAAGGCTCACCAGCACTTGGGCCTTGAGTTCGCTACAAGCAGGCATGTTCATTTGAGTTCACACAGGGAAGGTTACCATGGATACATGCAAACAGAAAACATTTATACTAACATCACAACCAGAGCTAAAATAGATTTTGTGAGCTTCACAGGGTCTCTTCTTGTCTTGCAAAAGGAGAATGCAACTCAGGGAAAGTCCAGACATGTAGTCCACCTGATCTAGACTTTAAGCTTAAGCTCGGGCTTGAACTCAGGGCTTGGCTACTGTCCTTGAGCTTCTTTTGTTCAAGGCTAGTGCTCTACCACTTGAGCTACAGTGCCACTTCTGGCTTTTTCTGTGTATGTGGTACTGAGGAATCAAACCCAGGGCTTCATGCATGCTCGGCAAGCACTCTACTACTAAGCCCTTATCCCAGTCAGTATAAAGCCTTATAAACTGGAAATAGTGGAAATACACTTCAAATTAGGCCCAATGTCCAGTGGTAGGATTCTAGGCTCACAGTGCATCAGTCCATGAGCAAGCGTGTCACATACCAAGTTGGATCCTGGTTTCTGAGCAAAAAAAGGATAAAGATCTATCCAATGTGTAACGGCCTCTAAAGTAGAGAAGTAGGCCGGGTCTCTTAGGACACTCTCCAGAAAGTCCCATGGTTACAGCTGTATACCCAGAGCCACAGTCTCTCCACAGTGCTATCCAATTTGTTGCTTGAATCCTGATCACTGATGTTCTCCATTGTGTCCCAGTGCCATGCTGCTTGTCACAGTGAAGAATCATGGAGGCTGTAGGATCTAAATACAGGTGTCATGGCCTATATCTTGCTTTGTCCTTGGCTGTACCCTTTCTAATTGCATGCATCCTGCGTTGTATTGGCTGTATCCTGCTCCCTCATTGGCTGTCTACTGACTTGTCATTGACTAGATCCTGCTTCTTCATTGGCTGACAAGTATTCATAGGATGATTTAATAAAAATTCTTTTAACAAACAGCACTGTTAGTAGAAATAGAAGGTAAGGGTGAAATGAAATGTCTAGGTGCTGTCTTCATAAAAATAGGAACAAGTTGTTAATTTTAATAATGTACAGAAAATACTTTTTTTGGTCAGTCGTGGGGCTTAAACTCTGGGTGGGCATTGTCCATCAGCTCTTCAGCTCCAGGCGAGCATTGTACCAATATAGCCATAGCACCACTTCGGGCTTTTCCTGCTTATATGGTGCTGAGGAATTGAACTCAGGGCCTCATGCATGCAAGGCAAGCACTCTACCACTGAGCCACCTTCCCAGGCCAGAAAATCCATTCTTTATCCCAACAATTATATTTTAAGCAACAAAACCCCAAAAAAACTTTGATGGAAATGCACTTTTCCACACACACACACACACATACACACACACAGAAAGGCACATTCAGTAAGTCTTCAAAAGATCAATGTTTTAAAATTGCAGCATATCTGAATTTGAGTAACTTGTCTAGTGCTCAATCCCCACAGCTCCATTCTAGGTCCTTTGGTGGTCAATTAGATATTTTAGTCTCATGAACGTTGCTGCCTGGGCTAGCTTTTAACCTGTATCCTCAGATGTTAGCATCCTGAATAGTAGAATGACAAGCCTGAGACACTGGCTCCTGGCCGCCTCTGTGGTGTTTCTATCATCCAACAAACAGCAAGGATGAGGTGAGCAGAGTTGGTTCGCCACCATCGTTTGGTCTTCACTTCCTCTTACTATGGATTATTCTTGGTATAACATGAGTGAGTGATCCATCGTGAAACCATTCTGTTATTCTTCATGAGCAAGAACGGGCAGAGGGTGGGGTAGCTGAAGGACAACATCACAAGCACAGCCTTGGATTTGTTCAATTTCTCCGGTGTGTAGAAGGAATACACAGTCACGATGTTGTTGGAGCAATAGAAGAACACAAAGCAGCTGACCAGCAGCAGGATGGTGTGGGTAGCTGTGTTCTCGGGCACTGGCTGGGAGGCAAGGCTGGGACTGTGGAGGTGCCGGGCTCTGCGGTGGTGTCGGGAGAGGAGCGTCACCATGTAGAGGCTGGGGGCCACCATGAGGACCAGGGACAGAGCATCTCGCAGCACACTGGAGCTGATAAGGGACATTTGGTTGTCCATTCCAAACTTCACTTGACAGTAGGGATGAGAAAATCCCAGTCTCATGACGGTTGAATTGCAATTGGATTCCACAGATTTGATCATGTGGAAATACATGATGGAATTGAAGATCCAGAATGAGAGCAGGAAGGGGAGGATGCAGGAGGAGGATCGGCTTTTCAGCCAAGCACAATGAGCAGAGGTGGGGCTGATGGTGAGGGCCTGAAAGGCACTCAGGAAGGTGGTAGTGCAGGTAGACAGTCCCCGAGTGACCCTGAACAGGAACACCACGGCCTTACACATGGCATCACCCCAGAAACACAGGACTCCATATGAGGAGACGATGAAGGGCATGGACTCAAAAATGATGGTCAAGGTGTTGACCAGGGTCAGGTGCATGAAAACTATAGCAATGGGCTTTCGGAGCCGGGGTTTGCACATGGTGCTGTATGCATACAGTAGGAAGAGGACACAGTTCCCCAGGACGCCCAGACACACCTTAGACACAAAGAGGAGCCTGAACACAGTGTCTCCTGCGTTGGCTGTCATTGTGTGTGTGTTTCTGTATGTGTGTGTGTGTGTGTGTGTGTGTGTGTGTGTGTGTGTGAGAGAGAGAGAGAGAGAGAGAGAGAGAGAGAGAGTGTATGTGTGTGTTGTTGAGAATCAAAGTAAGAGCCCTGACCAGTCAGGCAGGTGAGAAAGCTCTAGACAACCTTCTGAGTCCCATAGGCGGGAATCTTCACGGTGCTCAATTTCTTAATCAGATAAGCCAGGCTTAGAATGAATGCCAAAAGATAGAGTGTTAATCAAAGATTTAAAAATTGTTTCTTTTTTGGGGGGTGGGTCATACCGCTTATGAAATTGGCCCGGGTACAGTCCCTGAGCTTTTTTACTCAAAGATGGTCCTATCCCAGTTGAACCACAGCTCCATTTCTGGCTTGTTGGTGGATCACTGGAGATCAGAGTCTCAAGGACTTCCCTTTCTGGCCTGACTTTGAACCTGGATCCTCAGATCTTTGCCTCCTGAGCAGTTGGGAGTACAGGTGTGAGCCACCAGGGCCTGGCCCATACAATTGTTTTAAGTGGAGTCTGGGAAAAATGTTCCATTTGCCAGTTCTGGAGGGTTGGAAGAGTTCTGACCTCGGTATTTCAGACATGAATGTGCTGTGACCTTTGAATCTGGGATGTAGGGCCTGAAAGGACCTGGGGAGACACATGTTAGAATCAGGAGGGAATTCAAGGACACCACACTGGGCTGGGATGTTAGGAAGGAAGATCACTGGCTGTCTCTTCCTGTGGTCCCTGGGGCTCCATCATGGTCGGCAGTGGATGGTACAAGGAACACCAGGAGCCTGAGCATCTGATTGGCTTCACTTTTGTAAAATCTTCATTTTTTGAACACCTATTGCACAAATAGCACATCCATGTAAAATCCCTGTGGGGATGGCTACAACATGACTTTTGTTTTTTTGGTTGGTCATGGGACTTGAACTCTGGGCCTGGGCGCTGTCTCCATTCATCAGCTCAAGGCGAACACTCTACCACTTGAGCCACAGAGCCACTTCTGGTTTTCTGTGGTTCATTGGAGATGAAAGTCTCACCTACTTTCCTGCCCGGGTTGGCTTTGAACCTCAATCCTTAGATCACAACGTCCTGAATAGCTAGTATTACATGTGTGCATCATCGGTACCCAGTACAATATGACTTTCTTCATGGTGTATAGAGATACTAGAAGGTAAATATCTAACCAATATTGTCTGTACATTTCTTTCTGTCAGTCATGGGGCTTGAACTCAGGGTCTGGGTGCTGTCCCTGAGCTCTTCAGCTCAGGTCAAGTGTTCTACCGCTTGAACCACAGCACCATTTCCAGTTTTGTAGTGGTTTCTTGGAGACAAGGGTCTCCCGGACTCTTCTGCCTAGGTTGGCTTTAAACCGTGACCGTCAGATCTCAGTCTCCTGAGGAGCTGGGATTACAGGCTTGAGCCACCAGCACCTGGCTTATTTTCTGTACGTTTGAGAGTTTTCCCCCTGTATGATTCTCACTCATTACTGTTCTTATGTTTTCTCTCACATCACATAGAATACTTTGTTCCTTAATAAACTTGCACTGAATTAAATTAGTATCCCATTTTTCCTGACCAACTCTGTAAGAACATTTTCAACCCATTTCCCTGAACAATCTCCTGCAGAACAAAGTTTCACTCTGGCCCTCTTTGCTGCTGCACGAAAGTATTCTGCCTGTTTCCTGGCCAGAAGCAACAGACAAATTATTGAACATGACAACTCTGTGTGTTGCCCTTCTCAGCATCCAGTGTGCCTTTCAGAGGCAGTTTTAACTTTTATTAGAATTCTTAGGAATTATGATATTTGCTATGGTTCACAAATGTTCATCATATTCTCACTTTGGTAATATGTGTTATCGTTCCAGTGTAATCAGGATCTTTCCAGATTGTCCTTTTCTATGTGTGTTGGTTGTGGGGCTTGATTCTGGGTCTGGGCATGGTTCCTGAAAATTTTTCATCAAGACCAACACTCTATGACTTGAGCCACAGCTCCATGTCTGGCTTTTTGGTGCATAATTGGACTTGCCTAGGCTGGGTTTGAACTGTCATCCTCAGATCTCAGTTTCCTGAGTAGTTAGGATTACAGGCATTAACCACACACCCCAAAATCATCTTTTAAGAAGTGCTTGCCTTTTCTCTTCTGCTATCTCTAAACTTTTCATGTTATTTAGCATGAACTCTAGAACTTTCTAGTGAAGTTTGTTATTTTATATTTTTCCTTCTTATTGGACAGAAGAGTAGTGTGAAGTGAGATTATTAAATGCAGCTCACTCACAAAAAACTGAATTGGGCTGGGTATTTCCCATAAGGCGCTCTGCTCTGATTCTCATTCCATGACCCACTGGGCAATTTTAGGTCTCATGTTACTAGGATCAACCGTTGCAATGCATTATTTTACAAAAAGACTTTAGTAATTAGCAGCAATAACAGGTGGAAAAAGGAAAGATGGAAATGATATAAATGAACCTGATTAAGGCAGTTGATACATTTGACCAAAGTGTCATGAGAAACCGCACACCCAGCCTTTTTTAAATGTCATCTTTCATCCAGTCAGAATAAAATTCCATTTATTCTCTCTCAGACACTGATGAAGCCAATCCACTGCTCTGAGAAGCCACAAGGGTGCGGAATTGTTTCAGCTGAACAACGTTTCCCAACACAATTATTGTGCTTTACAAATGGAATGAAAACTGCCCCAGAAAAACGCTATCTCCACACACTGAAAGATAAAAATCTGCTGTGAAAACTTGCTACTATGAAGATGCACTATGAAATTTATGCCAAGAGATCAAAGAGATGATTCAGACATAAAGATCAAGAGAACAATGTCAGAACTGAGCCCCAACATTACAGACTGGGTCTTGGGATGAAGACAAGGAGAGCAGACAGCCCTTGTGGGAGAAAACACAGAACAAGTCAGCTCCTTGTGAACAAGCCCACGTTTCACACACCCCCCATGCAGTGTCCAAGAGGAGTGGGAAATGTTCAACATTAAAGTAGTACCTGGAAAGATGATTTAAGATGGGAATTTTAGAGATAGCAATAGAGAAAATGCAAGCCCTTATGGAAAGAATATTTTGTGGCTCACCTGCTACTCAGGTGGCTGATATCTGAGGATATCTGAGGATCCCAGTTCTAAGCCAGCTCAAGCAAGGAAGGTTTGTGAGATTTGTGTCTCCACAGAATCACCAAAAGCTGGAAGTGGAGCTAGAGCTCACATGGCACAATGTTAGCCTTGACCAAAAGTATTTAATGCAGTGTCCTAGCCCCAGGACATAATAACACACACACACACACACACACACACACACACACACACACACACACACAATGATTTTGTGATTCCCCTTATAAATACATTTGAAAGTACTCCTAATATGCCTAGAAGAAGGAACTTACCACTGGTGAGTTGCCAGTTGTGCAGGACTTGTATGGAGGAAAACTGAGATGTGTTGTGCCACAGGGGCTGAGGTGTGCACACCCGAAAGAATAAAAAGCAAGCAAATGCCTGAATGAAAAGAGTAGCATGGAGAGAAACAAGAAAGATGTGTATTCAACCGCAAACACAAGTGAGAGAAATGAAGACGGGCCAGTGAAGCACACCTGCAATTCTAGCTACTC